AAAAAAAAATGCTACAACAAAGGGGGTTTTGCTGATGATATGAATCTAACCTTTAACATAAAAAAATCAGCTTTGACATGTGACATGACAAATAATGTACACAGGGGAAAAAAATAACATGAAATATGTTGTAAATACATGTGAAATAAAACAATTTTAACTAAATAATTATAACTAAATAATTATAACTAAATAATAATTTTAACTAAATATGAGTTATATAGTCTATAGTTTATACAAATTCTCCTTTAATCTCCTTTAATGTTAAAGGAGGATTTGTATAAAGTCACAGAATTATTTCATAGTGAGCATCATTATTGCTATGATTGTAGTTAAAACACCAAGCCAGATACAAATCCTAAATTATTTAATTAAGTTCAGTCGTCCTCTGAGATCTTGTACAGCTGTTCAAGCCTACGAGGTCTCTCACACTCGCACACTTACCAGGCATTTGTCGGCAAAAACACAATAAAGCGAGTAAAATCCGAAATAAGTCTCTTTGTCTCGTGTGATCCAACATGTTTGTAGTAATTTGAGTGAAACTATAGTCCTGTGTGTTGCTTGAGAGACGTGCGTCCCGTGGTATGCGCTCCGGTGCGCTCCGGCTGTGCACTGAAGAGTCCGTGCTGGCGAGGCAAGAAGTATGCGCGCTTAAAGAGGTTGCCAGATTGGATCAAAACCACCAACACCCACTCACCAAAAGTCCCAAACCAGGCGGGGCACCTCTTTTTGATTCACCAATACTCTATGACACTTCTGAGGCTGGTGTAAGGCGTGGGACATACTGAGGGGGTACTGACTTACCGCCATTCATTCATCTGAGAAAAAATCCCTGTGAATCACACAAGTAACCATATGTCCAAGTGTGTGTGTGTGTGTGTGTGTGTGTGTGTGTGTGTGTTGGGAAAAAACAAACTTCTTACCCTCCTTTAAGGAATTCTTCAACCTAATCTCTATCTGTGGTGTGTGTGACTACACAAGAAAATAGTTTGAACCATTATGAAGTCTTACTGAAAGTGATACTAAAAATAAAAGTTATATTGCTCTCTCATATCTTTCATTCATTCACTCATTCATTCATTCATTCATTCAGGTTTGGCAACTCTGGTGGTCCATCGCTGGCCCAATGGACAAAATGACGGCCCAGCGTTGGCACCCAACCTTGACCCAAGCGAATAACTGATGTCGAATAACTGACTGGGCCAAAATTGGACCAAAGTTGGCAGAGATGGATTAAAAGAGGGCTGAAAGTCTGTTGGCCCAACAGACAGACGGCATTGGCGAACATCAGTTTGCTAACTGGGAAATGATTTATCCTGGTCAGGGTAAAGGTCGATCTGGGATCCAACCCTGAAACACTGGGCAAGAAGCAGGGCACGCCCTGGATGTTATGCCAGTCCATCACAGAGCACTATGAGCACACACATTCACACACACATTCACACACTTATTCACACCTTTTCTGTAGCTAATCCACCTACCATCATGTTTTTAGGAGGCGGGAGGAAACTGGACAATCCAGAGGTAAAAGTAATTCTGCTTCACACCAGGCTGTATCATACTACACCCTCAATGATTTTTTTTTTTCATATAACAGCACACCACATCATTTTTTAATCCTTACTTACCCCCCCCCCCCCCAAAAAAAAAAAAAAACCACTCCTATAGTCCACTGTGTGGATGTGTCAGTGATGTCACCGACCGTCTAAAGAATGTGTTGACAGTGCTAGTGCTAGCAAAGAAATTAGGAATGACAAAGAGGATTTTTTTTAGCAAATATTCTTATTCTTATTCTTCTTTACATTATTATTATTATTTAACAAAGGCTACGAGTACAATGTTGCAAGGAATCAATTTAGACAATCAATTTAAACTAATTTAGACAGAGCTACACCAATTAGCATAAACGATAGAGCAACCGCTAAGGATGCCAGTTGTCTCGTCATATCTCAGTCCTTCTGCTGTCTCCCATTTCTTTCATTATTAAAAGAGAATACCATGGCTATTACATGGCTATTAAAAGAAAATACCATGGTAAAAATTACTGCACCAAAAATGCTAGATACACTTTCAATCACAGTTGAGGAGAAGAGGAACAGAGACTGATTGAGCAAGATAAGTCATGTCAATTTCTGTGGCTAGTGAAGCGTGTTTCTAATTCTGATTCATTCATAGGGATACTCGACTACACTTACTTTCAACATAGCCAAAGCCAGAATAAAAGCAGCAGAAAAGAAATAGCACAATGGAAAAGTCAAACTATAGAAGCTGTAGCTAGGAGTAATGCTAACTAGAAAAAAAAAGTTAACAGTGGCTTTAAGTATGAAAAGTCAGTGTTATGGATTTAACAAACCACTCGTTTTCAAACCCACTTAAAAGTATGTACTAATATACTTTTAGGTTAGCATAGAGTATATACTATGTACTTCCCCTTCAACTATCATAACATCTCGCCTTTCCCACGTTTAATGTCAGAGGCTGTGCTGAATGTCTAAACAATATCAGCTGCAGCAAAACACAGACTCTCTTACAAAATCCCAAAAGAATGATTCATCTCATGGAGGATATAATTGGCTTATTCATCATTGCTTGGATCACACGTTAAGGATTCGGCTGAAATTGGAATTGCCCAAGAATTCCCAGATCTGTTCCTTACTTTCTTTCTCAGCTTGTTTAATTCACAGGCAATGAAGTGGAGAGTTTTTGCTCAGTCTTTGTGCTTGCTCACCAGCGAGAGAGAATCCTCCCCAAGAGCCTTGATCTTAATAATTCCAGGCATGCTTTAGATACCCCTCTTCTTTATTCACCCTTCCCACTGTGATTCTTTTTCCTGTGTTTCCTATCTCTCCCACAGTCAGATAGCCAAATCACATATGAGAGTAGAGGAAAATGCATAAACTAACTAAAGTTTTGTTACTGTTCTTCTTTCCACCAACAAGCTCCTTGCTTCTAAAAAAAAAAAGGGGGGGGGGGGGCAATGAGCGTTTAAAGCAGGTCTTGCTCCAATATTTCTCTAAATGGCTGTTGTATGTCTTATAATTTCCATTTATTGTAAGCACCTTGAATAAACATTGTTAACTCCAAATAGAGGAGCTTTCCACACTCCAGGAAGTCTCTAATAAAGCCCGGGGTCAGGAGACACACACGGGAGGAATTTCCAACAGATGGAAAACAGAGATGTGTAAGGTAATGAAGAAAAAAAAAGGCGCTGCTTTCTTTTTGTTTTTTTTTTTACTGAGGGAAAGTGAGTCTGATTCCTGTAAATAACACCACCCCCTATGCTCAGATGAAGCCTGTAAATAGCTTCCTGTGCAAAGGAGTGAGCAATTTCAGTGTGGCTGAGGCTCAAGGGTCCGCTGCATGCAAGCTGCATCCTATCCCTCCACGCTGTGTTCAAGTCCAAATGATCTCACTAAGAGTTGGACATGCAACTACTAGATAAGAGATAAGATAAGATAAGATAAACTTTATTAATCCCCGAAGGGAAATTCAGGTAGTCTTGTAGATAAGTAAGAAAGAAAGTAGTAAGAGTAGTAAAAAGTAGTGAGAGTAGTAGAAATTAGTGAGAGTAGTAAAGTAGTGAAGTAGTAAAGTAATGAGAGTAGTGATTAGTCATCTGCCATTGGGTAAGGTGTTGTAGAGCCTGATGGCAGTGGGGATGAAGGATCTCCTGTATCATTCAGTCCTGTAGCGCAGTGATTTGAGTCGTCCACTGCAGCTGCTTCTCTGGTCCATCAGGGTGTTGTGTAGGGGATGGTCAGGGTATTCCAGAATGGCCTCTAGCTTTTTCTGTGTGCATCTCTCCACCACGGCCTGCAGTGATTCAAACCTCATTCCAGTCACTGAAGAAGCAGTTTGTCTACCCACCTTGCATCCTTCTGCTTTATGCTGCCTCCCCAGCAGACTAGTAAACTAGTTTGGTAAAACATATGTAGCATCTTCCTGCAGATGTCAAAGGACCGAAAGCCGTCTTAGGAGGAAAAGCCGTCTCTGCCCTTTTCTATATTGTACATCTGTGTGAAGTGACCAGTCCAACTTATTGTCCAGGTGCACACCTAGATATTTGTAGGCTGGCACCACTTCAATGTCCGCACCATAGATGCTGCCTGGATAAGGAGGGGGTTTAGCCCTTAGAAAATCCACTACCATCTCCTTGGTTTTAGAGGTATTTACTAGGAGGCAGTTTTTGTGGCTCCAGTCACTGAAGGATTTTATCAGGGCTCTGTATTCCTCTTCCTGACCATTCCAGATACATGCAACTTTTTTGTAATAAGGAGCCTGTGTGTAAATATATATGACAATATGAAACAAATAATTGTATAAAAATGTGTCACAGTGGTACAGTGGGTAGCATTGCCACCTCACAGCCCCAGAGCCCTCGATTCGATTCTGAGCTTGTACTACTATCTGTAGTTAAAAAAAAAAAACATGCCAGTAGGTGGATTGGCTATGCTAAACTGCTGCTAGATGTCTGAATGCGTGTGGACTGACTGGTGTCCCACCCAGGGTATATTCCTGCCTTCAATTCAATTTTATTTACATAGCGCTTTTACCAATAAACATTGTCACAAAGCAGTTTCACAGAAATCTGGATAGATATGCAGATTTGAATCCCTAATGAGCAAGCCAAAGATAACAGTGGCTCAGTGAGACAACTCCCTGAGACAATAAGCAGGAAAAAAAAAAAAACCCTGGAGACCCAAAAGGGAATGCATCCAGTGACAATGAGTAGGGGCATAATGAGTCATTACTCTTCCACAACCGTATACTGTAGAGCCAAACAGTACTGAGTGTGTTGAAAGGGTCTTTTTTTCATTTCAGGAGAGTTTTTAACTTTTAGTGTATAGTATCCAACACTGAAAACCCTAACAAGTTGACTATACTCAACTGACTGAGTAAACTCGCTCCCTCAAACTAACTGAGTAATGGGGTCTCCCAAAACTAGTATATTTATTGCTCGTATACTATTTAACTTGGTGTTCATATAGCATATTTTATCATTTACTGACCGTGAATCGAAGCCGGGCCACAGTGGCGAGAGCGCCGCATGCGAGCCACTAGACCACCAGGGAACTAGCCTGTCCCAAAAGTCTCCATAAACAGGGGAAATTAACACATTTTGGCAAAACATCCTCTACATGATTGCCAATTCTTTGTAAACACACATGGAGTCCTTTGTCCTACTCATGATGAACCCTTAAACTTCACTAGCAACAGACCAGACAACTGCAATTATCTAACAATCGGTGCATTAGTTCTCTTGTTGTTGAACTCCTTCCACGGCCAATCACATCAAAGGAAGACCAGAGCGAGTTATAATAACGAATTATGATTTTGAGTTCATAACACTTGAAATCTTAAATTTATGTATTTTGTAGGTAAATAAGTTAAATAAACTTGGATTTTTGATTTATGGTACAAAACACACATTTTAAGTAATGTTTAGTCATGATTACTTGATTGTTTAGGTAAAGGCAACGTTAGGGTTTACAGTGAAGTGAAGTTGTCCACCAGATAGTGAATGAGACATGGCGATAAACTGTCTTCAGAAGTGCTGTCTTTAGGCAATCCAGACACATCCTGGTGCCCAGTGTTCCTGAGATAGGCTCCGGATCTACCACGAACCACACAAGGATGAAGTACTTACTGAAGATGAATGAATCAGCGAATCAGAGAATAGTTGTATGAATCCTCCACACTTCTCCTGCTACTTAAAAAAACAGACACAGCATTTTTCGAATGCTTGTTATCACTGTCTGGTGACCTAACAAAAGAGAATTTACATAAACCAGAATTTACTTGCATAAAAAAAAAAATACAACATAAGGAATATAAAAGATAGATGGCAGAAAAAGTATGGTCTGTAAGTGATATAAAGTGTAGATATGTGCAGTTGTGCGTGCAATACAATGCTGTGCAACATCGAGCCGAAGTAGTTCCTGTGAAATACTAACATATAATAAATATTTATAAATACCGGATAATACGGGTATATTGACAGGATTGTAGGGGTTATAGGTGTTGTTTTATATATGGTGCTTAAATAATAGCTTTAATGTTCAAAAGTAATATCTTTAATGTTAAAAATTAAAAGGACGACACAGAGATGCAGTGGGTAGGTAGCATTGGCACCTCACAGTATCAGGGTCTCCAGTTCGATCCTGAGCTCAGCCTGTGTGGAGATTCACATGTTCTCCCAGTGCCCAAGTGGCTTTCTCTTCGTTCTCTCTTTTCTTCCCACCTCCCAAAAACATGCTGGTAGCTGGATTGCCCCTAATCTAAATTACCCCTGGGTGTGAATGAGTGTGTGAACGTGTGTGTGTGGGCCAACTCCATATTAAACCCTACAGATTATGAATGGGATGTCATTAAAGTTCATGTGCATGTAAAGGCAGACGTCCCAAAACATTTGGCAATATAGTATATATATACAGCAGCTATTCTTAGAATGCGGAAGTCTCTGAGGCAGCTAGGGAAGATTAGTCATAGGAACAGAAATGCGTCAGTGTCCAGCAAGTTCAGAGGGCAAGAATAACGACAGCAGGGGAAGCGTGTCATGATCTTCTGTCAGCTTTGGGTCAGGGCACACAAGCACAGTATTCATTTTAAAAACTCAGTTGCCTTGGCTTATTTTCTGTGAGGAACGTGTACAAAAAAAAAAAGAAAAAAAGAACACACATCCTACAACCCCCTACACATTTATATCCCTTATAAGGTCCTCGGGTCAGTTTGACACGAGGGTAATAAATAGTTGAAAAGAGTACTCGAAAACAGGCAGGTCATGGTAAATATGAAATTAAAACACAAGTTCATGTGAAAGACACAAGGTAAAGAGATCCCTTTGTGATCCCTCATATCCAGGGAAGAGAACAAGTCCCAAGGTCCTGAGCATCTGCAGTCATGGCGAGAAGGATTCAGGAGGAATGTTACCCCAAACTGCACTTTTTTAAGTGTGAGTGACTTTTTTGTTATATGTGTGTGTGTGTGTGTGTGTGTGTGTGTGTGTGTGTGTGTGTGTGTGTGTGTATGCACCTGTATACATTTTAGGAGTATTAGGTGTCTAACAAAGACTTTTCAATATTGTAGGTTGCAGCTGGTGGTGAAAAGAGGAAAAATGCCAGGATTTTGTACCAACAAAGAATACAAATATTTTTGTAAGCATAAATGAAAAGAAAAAAAAACAGCATATTTTTTTGATATTGTGTGTTTTCTATTTGTTCTTTATAGCTTGCATTTATTTTATTATAGCCAATACTACTTACTAGACTAACAGTTAAACAGAAACGTTTTCAGTAGTCATGAAAACCTTGTTTCACTTAAGTTTTACAAGAAAAATGTGATTTATGCTACAAAACGTGTTGATTATGTTGATTCATTGCTTATATCACACAAAAACGGATGAGTCTTCCGTCGTTAATAGAACTCTAGCAGAGGTAAGTTTCAAATATTAAATAGATTTGTCATCAGTATTGTTTGTAAGGGAGGTAAGACCATATATACACTGAAATTATGTAATTTTTTCATGTCTGTGGTGTTTTAAACCCCCAGTTATATCCCAGGTCAGTGTGACTCGGTGAAGACCCCCAGTGGGAATGAAAAGTAAGGGTCACACTAGGGTTAAGTGAGGGATAACACACAATGGGCCATGCTATTAATCCGAAGATTTTCCACTCTTACATTTTGTTATCACCCTTTTCCTAAAACGGCATGACTTTTTCCATGTCACACAGTAGCAATTTGCCAAGAAGTACAATTCTGATTTTCTGATGTCGAGATTTTTTTAGCCATTTATAGTTGCTTTAAATGTTTTTCTCTTTCTTAAATCTGATAAGACAAAAAAAAAAAAAAAAAAAACAGTTTGTCATGTAACTGAGAAGCCAGAAAACATAAACTCCTCCTGAAAACCTCACCATATCAATAATTATTTATAATGTTTAATATTTATAATTATATTTATTTATATGTTTTCCTTTGGTAAATAACAGCACTTTTTTTTTATTCAGTTTTTTATTAGCCTTAGATTATTTGGAGCGTCTGCCACACAAGTCCTTGTGAATGAGCTGTCACTATAGAAAGAATAACTAGTGCGTTAATATAAACCTGACATTTACAGTATGTTACAGACAGAACTACTGTCAGAGTTGAACTAATAGTAGTAACTTGATTATTTACCTTAAGATAAATAGCAATCGTTGGATGCGATGTTAAGGGGATACCGGATGCACAAAAGAGCTAACTAAAATTCTACAGCTGATTGTAAGTTAGGCAATGACCCATCATGAGGCTGAAAAAGCAAAACAAATCAATCAAAGATACTGCCAAATATACTGCCAAAAAAGATGAGCCAAAACCCACAAAAAAGAATAATAGAACAATGAGATTAGCAAAATAATCAACCTAGCAGACCATGCAAGACCACAGGGGATGGATGACTGGAGGAAATACGTAATATGACGGAGATAAACTGTCAAAACAACTGATCAATTAAGTAAATACAGCTTTCTTTTTTTGTGTGTTTGTCTATCTCCACTGACTTTTAAAACTAATGGTCATGAATTCTTACTTACTGATCCAACCATAAACCACAGATCCACTAGAGAATCACAGCTTGTGGGTACTGCTTGAGTCATGTGGTTGCTGTTTTTTATTTATTTGTTTATAGATAAAATCCTGCATAGAAAATTGGTCTTAATCTGGCTATACACTGTACACTGTTTTCAGCTTGATTCTTTTATAATCACACATTTTAAAAGAATTCTTGCGTGCCATTGCGACCAAAGACAGATGATTATTTCTGGCAGTGTGAGAAATTTTTTGATTTAAATCTCAGACTGGGAGCTCTGCTAAAGGCTAAAAAGTCAGCAATGGGAGGAGAGGACGGCTTCGGCTAAGCAAACCTCAAGGGACAGCTAAAAATGTGCTAATGAACAGAAGGAAAAAAAATCCTCATTACCTCAAGCTCACTTTGAAGAATGTTTCTGTTTCTTTGAACACATTTCTAGCATAAGCTTGAATGGCAGTGAGTGCTGATGTAATCACAAAGTAGTCATTTTCTTTAATTGGATGTCTATCATTAGGGGATCCTTAACACATAACTTGACATAGAGAACATGTCTGTTACAGAATTTAGCCCAGATTTCATTTGGATGAGAAATAAACTTATAAGACCGCTGTAATCACACAGTAAAAAATCGGCTTTAGATGTGTGTATAGCTTTTTTAAAAAAAAATAGATTACATTATAACACAGAAAAATTACATCAACATGCAAAAACCCCTTGCCACCTCATGTGAAAGTTTCTAGATCCTCTATTGCCATAAAGAGAAGAATTAGACAGCTTGAACTCAGAGAGCTCAAAGAACCAAGATACAACCACTGGTATGAACAGACAGGCGATGGTTCTGTTTCCTAAAAGTCTATAGATAGAGAAAAATGAACCCAACCCATAGTACCAAGGCATTACTCATGATCTAAAGCACACCAGTCATTTGTGGGGAAAAGGGTGGCATGGACATGTTGGGCTGCCAGTGGAACTAGATCACTTCTCTTCAGTGGCATGAGAAACAAAGTCGTAAGTGCTCTGATTCAACCAGATGCTAATATTATTAAAGCGGAATATTATTAAATATGGAATTACGAAGTTTTATTCTACAATAGTTGAGTCATTTAACCACTGATCCTGTGCTTCGCGTCACATGATATGATTAAAGTACTGAAATGGAAAAGCACATAAACCTGGAAATACCCACTATCTGAAATCTTTAGGTCAGAGATTTTAGGGAGGTTCCAAAAATGATGTGTATTTCTGTGGAAGGTACACAGTGAAGTCACCTCAGTTCCACATCCATTTTTTTCTGCTGTGCACTTGTAAAAGGAGGACAAGAGTACCATGTAAAGACACACTATATTGAACTAATTTTCAGAATATGAGATTCATTCATCTTCAGTAAGCACTTTATCTTGGTCAGGGAAGTGGTGGATTCAACCTATCCTGAGAATATATATATATATATACACCATGTACACACACATATTCACACATTCACACCTAGGGGCAATTCAGTATAACCCA